ATTCGCGGACATTCCCCTAAAATAGCAGCTTTAAAAGTCGCTACGAGTACTTTGACACAGCAGTCTGTCAATAATTGTACACTGGAACTATTGGGTTCTAAATACTTTTGTGCACGTAGTTCTTCTTCCCGAAGTTTAGCTTCCGCGTAACGCATGTAGTGCTCGACACCGTGTGCGTGTAACTGCTCTGGTGCTTTTATCCAGTAAAATGACTGAGTAGTTTCGATGTACGCAGCTTCAAAATTTTCCCGATAAATCTGCAGTTTATCGTTGGGATTCGAACAAAGATTTACATATGACTCACGTACACCTATTACTAATTGCGAGTCAAATGCTTCTCCATTTCTTTCGGCTCGCACTAGTTTCATTGCTGAGTCTTGTAGTCTCTGTTTTATATCGATGAATATACTTTGATTCCAACTATCTAACATCATCTGTTAAAAATAATTATAATTGTTTTATTTTGTTAATTAATAAATTAAAAAAATAGATGGTTAGTTGAATATTGAATTACTTTTCTAACGAGGCTTTCCTCAGCTTGAGCTTTTTTCTGCACACCAGAACCTCCACTGCTAGTTTTTCCGGCTAATGATGATTCTAATTGACGAAAAGGTGTCGGTAGATAATTACACTGGGTGAAAAATTTTCTCCATTCTTGTATGTAGGCTTTTAGCAGTGCTTGTTCTTCTTGATGTGCTAAGACTCGCTGTAAATAATTTAATATTGAATAAGTGAGTACATTTTATGCAGTAAAATTTTATTATTTTAAAACTTTTAAATATATTTTAATTATAAATTAAAATGCTGTCTGAATTACTCCAATATTTTATTCAGTACTTAGCATTCTACACTACACTAAAAACTGCTAATTTTTTAGGTAAATTTTTTTTGCTTTGTATAATTTAAAATTACAGTAATTAGAAATATAAAAAACAACTTACTTGTTGTGCTTGTTTTATAAAGTCCATAATATCTTCTTTTAAAGCATCTCGCATTTTTTGAGCGCCTTTTTCGTCCCAAAGACAGACCGTGTAAATGGAATAAAATAAATCCTGCCATTCTCCTTGAGTTACTGGCTCTTGTTTCAATAATTTCAATATTATTGGCCGCATAGATGGCCATTTTTCTTCAAATGGTAACTGACTTTTGGGATC